CAAATAAATGAGCCAACATAGAAGGGCACATTCTACAGGTGAAGACTCAGTTTTCCTATACCTTAAAGAAAAGGGACATTCTTTTGAGGACGATTGTTTTTAAATAAACTAAAAGAAATCCCTCAGGTAGAGCCAGCTTTATAGTATGCATTGTTTACTTTTTGTGGTGTAGACAAATGAGGCTCAGCTTAAGGCCCCATTCTCACTGAGCGACACTTACCTCGAGCGGATTTCCACGCATTCGGGATAGCGCAACTGTTCAGGTGAGGATCGCGCGACCTTCACCGTCGGGCTGCATGCAAAAAGAGAAAAATCACGCGACATCCGCGGGGAAAAAGGGAACTGCACAAGCCACGCGCGACAGGCGACATGGAGCTGTAAAATAGAACAGCTCCATTGAAAATCATTGGACGAGCCACTTCTCGTGATATCGCGCAGCAAATATGCGCGATATCGTGGCCTAAATGGCGTGATTAAATGCTCAGTGTGAATGTGCACTAAGGCAGAGCCACTCTAAACAGGAAAAACAATGCACTTTAATGGGCATTGTTCAGACTTTTGCGGTGGCCGCGTGGTACCAAACCGTGCGGCCCACAAAATAGTCCAAGCACACAAACGAGCAGAATCCATGCGAATGAAAGATTTTAGCGTATGCGTTGCCGCATGGTCTTCTGCACGGAAAACGCAAACACTATATGCGAATAGAGCCTGAATCACCTAAAAATTTCTCATAGTTCTCAGAGACTCCAAGAGTGACATTCACTTTACTTCTGAGATCCAGCCACCTTTTCTCTGCTACTATGGGGGGTGGTCTCTTTCTTCTTATTGTATTTGTGTCTAACGTCACATTAAGGAGAACGCTGCAATAAGGTAGAGACAACTCCTACTACAGATTACATGATGTGGAAAGGGAAAATACTAAGGACTGTGCTGGGGAGATAATGCTTCTGAGGTTCAGAAAAATACAAGGGTGAATTTATCAAAATGGCAGCAGACAAAATCTGGAGCAGCTGTGCATGACAACCAATCAGCTTCTCTCCTCAGTTTGTTCAGTTAAGATATGAAAATGAGAGAGAAGCGCTGATTGGTTGCCATGCACAGCTGCTCCAGTTTTGATAAATCCCCTCTATTATGTTTTATCCATTTAAAGACCCTGAAGTACAAAAAAACTAGTTGATCTGCCAAAAATGCACTAAGCTACCAACTTCTTGTTGTGGGCTGACAAATAATGGTGTCAGCACTGCCCAGCTGTCATTAGTTAAACTATAGAACACCCCCCTCTCATCTCCATAAAATACAAAATTAATAGTTTTGTAGTCCAAGAAGAGAAAGAGAAGGGCTGATAACACTGCCTGAAATAACACAGGCAGAGAGAACAAGGCAGCTCTAAATTTCTGACACAATCAAAGGTATTTTTTTTTTTGCATGTATTGAACAGATAAGATAAAATACTTTGAACGGTATATTTAACAGACCAAAAAAGAGCAATAAAACACCAGTGAAGGTTTTACTGACCCTTAATGCCCCTGTCTGCCATTTACCATTAATTAAGCAATAGACATTAACTGCATTTTGTGTGCTTACCACTTCATAATTGCTTTTATCTTTTCCTCTTGTGTGCACTAAAAACTAGCTGATAAACAAATGACTGATAATGATAAATGTCTCATTTGCATGCTTTGCCAAGTAAGAAAGTAATGGCTTTTATTGCCAGTCACGGTGTTATCCTTGCACCATGGATAAACTGTAGGGGGACATTGTTTCTATCATTAAAGAGGAATTAACACTGCAAAATAACAAAAGCTTATCTCACAGCACAGAGCTTACACATTTATGAGCCACTACTGTGAACCAGATGCTTTTCCAGCAGAATATTATTCTTCCACTGCTTTAGCAGCACAAAAAGATTTTAGCTCATAGCATGTAAATACATCCTCACCATGACACATTTATTATGATTTCTTGTTTTCAGTACTTTTGCTGTCCCCATAACTGTTAATTGTAAATTGGCTTAAATCATCAAGCCTCACAACATATGTGGATAAAGTATAACAATATAAAAGCAGATACAGCAGTGTTCCAAAGGTGATAGGACCTTTAGGAGCTTGTATAACAGTGTGTGAAATCAAATATGACTAAATAAATGTATAACTAAGCGTGGCAAATAGCAATACATGATAAAGGGTTAAAAACAGCATTCACTAAACCGTCAGCCCCAAGAAAATATAAAATAGAGGACCATCCTTCATTTCCCACTCCTTACTAGCAATGGGATTGCATGACAATCCATGCGTCAGGCTTACAGGGCTATTCACAAAAGGTGGAGGGTTTGGAGAAGGCAGGAGAAGTGAACAGACTAGGCCAAAAGAGATGATTTGGAAACATTCTCCAATTCAGATCACTTTCCAGTTCAGCTATGTTGTCCTAGATTGTTCACTTCTCCTGCCTTCTCCAAACCCTTCAGCCTTTTGTAAATAGCCCTGTTAGTATTGGTAATGCCCCAACCACAATTCTAAGAAAGATTTTCCTACACATTTTCAGGGTGCCAACCTTTATATGCCTGTTTATTCGGTAATACGTTTTTAGTAAATTACTAAAGACAGGCAATGCATATATTATTTTTTTTAAGACAAACAAAGTTGAGGTGTATTGTCTTGCCATAATAATGTTATTCTTCATGCAATTCATAGACACAAAAAAAAATGAAAAAACTAACAACGCACACGTTTTTCTATTTTGACTACTGCTATTTTTATAAAAAAAGTATTGCTGCTCTCGATGAAATGTTTACATTTTATTCTACCATTTGTCCTGTTTAAAATGACAATAAAATTATTATTGTGGCACAAAGCATTGCAACGTTTTTTACAATTTAAATAAAGGATTTTTCCTGATTTTGTGCTTTTTGTTAATGCAACACTAAAAAAAAGTAACAAAATGAATAAAAATGAAAACATTTAAATAATAATTATTAGAAAAATAGAATAAACAAAAAAATGAGAGATGAGGGGATATGGGGAAGAAGGAATTAGCTAGGGCTGAAGAGAATAAACTATGGGTTAATAAGGGGTGAAATAGGAACACATTTTATTTTTAAAAAGTGTTTTGTTTTTTTTACTTGTCAGGTTGCTTTAGCTGACATTATATGCTCACCCCTTTGATCTGCAGATGAATGAAATATTCCTTTGTATCTCTCCATTTTGTGCCCGAACAAGGTTTATAAACACTGGGGTCTATTCACTAAGTTGCCAAAGGATCTAGCCATAGCTTCGGCTGATCCTTCGGCTAGCTTTGGCCCCAGGACCCCTTCGGTTCAGTAGAAGTGAAGGGCTGCTGTACGGGCTATTCACTATAGCCCATACAGCTCCCGAAGTTGGCCGAGCGGCTCAGTCGAGCCGAAGGCATATGCATCGGCACGTCTGAGCTGCGGTGAAAGCCAAAGCTGGCCGAATGGCCGACCGACAGCCTGCTTCTGACAGCTGGGCGGAGCAAGCCGTCATCTCACGGCTGGCTCCGGCCACTTGCGGAGAGATCAGCATCCCTGGTTAACAGATAACCAGGGACGCTGTCATTACACACTGAGTGCGGCCTCTCCGTGTTCTCAGTGTGTAATGACAGATGGCGTTCCTGGTTTTTCTTCTACTTTTTCAACTATTTTTCTATTCTGCTCGGTTCCACAGAGGTACCAAGCTAAATAGCCGAGCCGAATGCCGCTCAGCGGCATTCGGCTATTTACTCACTGCTGTTCGGCATCTATGAGAATAGACCGAACAGCAGCGAGCCTGCCGGATGTTCGGCTTAGCCGATCCAGATGTTGGATCGGCTGAGTCGCCCTCCTTCTACACTTCGGGTCGGCCGAACATGCTTAGCATGTTCGGTCGACCAGAAGCCACCCACCCGATGTACGGCTAATTTCAGCCGATAAACGGCTGGAATCAGCCGTACCAGCCTGAAGTGAATAGCCGAACAGCGTTTGGCTCACTTCACTTGGGGTTGGTTAGTCACTTGGCTGCCTATGGCAGCTTAGTGCATAGACCCCACTGTGTCAGACGTTCCATTTGTTGACAGCAGCAGCTTCTTTTATACAGCAAATCCTGGCTGTCATTTTGACAGCTGGGGACTGCTGGCAAGTAAAATGGGGGAGTGGAAGAAGGACAGGGCATATTACGCATGCCCTGTGTGTGTGAATTAATTTTGGGGCTTGTGTAGCACACCCAAGGCCCAGAGCTGCTAATAGGTATGTGCAAAATACTGTACCCAAACGACTAATCAGAATTAAGTTTACTGTCACGTCACTCCACATATGATATCTGATTGGTTGCTATGGTTCCTAAAATTTGAGGGTATGCACCATTACACGTATTGAACCAATTATTAAACCAATTCCCGATCTTCATAACACAAGAACTAAAGCTGTTTGAGCAGCAGATGAACAGAGTGAACAGCCAAGACTTTACAGAAGAGCTAATGAAGTATGCTGCTGAAGGCTACGTAACTTGCACATCAAACTTAAATGGATACTGTCATAAAATGAATGGAGGCTGCCATTCCTTTTGAAAATGCTAGTTCTCTATCGTTCTGATACTTTGGCTTCAATGCTGCCTAAGTCTCTGACCTGGACCAATTATATAGAGAATATAGAGTAGTTTTGACAATTTTCTGACACTCATTTGCTGTATGATAGACCCCGTTCTGTAACTGAAACATACTAAAGTTAGACACAGCTAGGTATATAGCATTTTTAGAAGGAGGTAGCAATGGTAGCCCTCATACTTCTCTCTTGTATGAGTCACTTTAATTGCTCAACTACTGCAGCTTGCTTGAGTTCTTTATAGTGTTGCCGAGAATAGGAAATAGTTCTGCAAATCTCTGCTATATTTGAAAACATACAGCAGAAGGATAATACTAAAATGGAATAAAAACAGTCCAAAATATTGCTTTTCTACCTAATAAGCACATACAATGCATGTACAGAATTAGAAAACTGGATATTAACCTACCGTCATCCATGATATCCTGTGCAGCCACTGAGTTTGTGTAAACAACCAAGTCAGACAAGGCTCGACATAATTTCATTGTCTTCCTTCGACGGCCCAATCTGTTAAGTAGTTGTGGAGAAACTGTTAATACTGATCAGTTACATATTTACATAGCTAAGTTTAAAGAAGAAGTATATTCGTTGACTTCACAGTTTTTTTAACGAAATGCCGGTTGATTCAGTAGAAGCCCACAAACCTAAACTCATTGTAAAATGTTATTTAATGAATCCTTCTGCACCCTTAAAAGGTAACTGGCTAAATTCCTGTTTCAAAACACTAATATTTGTTTATTTATAAATAAAAATAACGCAGCATCTAATTTTCTTTTAAATCTGTCTTGACTTGAAAATTCACTAAATCCACTCTCAGTAAAAAGCATTGCCCAGTTTCAGTAAAGTATCCTTTTCCTACAAGGGTAAACCTTTTATTTCAGCTTGCCACGATGAAAACTAATTAATGGAGGGTGGCGAGCTCACAGAGAGCTCAGTTGTATTAAAAACAGATTGCTTGCAGAGTACAGAGGCTGCCATTTCCAAGAGGATATGAAGGGAAAAGCTAACAAAAAACATGAGTTTCTGTGTTCATATACAGCTACTGCATATGCCTGCTTCATGTACACTCAATGTACACTGCTGGCATATGTTTTAAAAAAAATACCTCTGCAAAGGTGGAAATGGGTTTTAAATTTACAGCCAGGCAAGCAATATTCGATGTAGGCCATTAATATATTTTTATTATCACAACAGAGAAAAAAGATAACTATAAAACAGGTTGGTAATCCTTAAAATGTGTCTCATGAACTGGAAGTGGTGCTCACAGAGGTCACATCCATGCCCAAGTTTATATCATCTAGGGGATGAAAAGACCTTCACCATCTTGAAAATGTGCTGATGAGGCAAGCACAAATTGGAGACTTTGGTATAAGTATGGATTAGCCAATCTCTTGTAGGTAGATCAGAAATGGTAAATGCACCAAGTACTACTAAACAATGTACAATGTAGTGTGCACTGTGTAACTTACATTCTGACAGCATAGAAAAGAAATTAGTTAGGAAACTGTTTATTTTCAGTGCAATTAGCCACAAGTTCTGCAGCAGAACCTCTTTGAAAAAACACTCTTTAAAAATATAAAACACACAGAAAATCCACTTTAAAGATGTAGAATACCCACAAGAAATATAGACCTGCTTAACAGCGATACAAATAAAGAGTCTGTCCTGTCTGACAAAAACCCTAACAAAAGTCGGTACATGAGCATGTATAGCAGAGGTCCACATGGGTCCAAAAAAAAAACCCACTTTCTTTAATGAGGAAAACGTACATTTAAAAATAATTCACTGACCAAAATAAAATAATTAATAAATAGATACAAATAATCCTACAGTCGAATTAACTTAACCTTAGGCCTCTCTCCAAATTCCAATTACATATGTTCCGCTTTCCTAAGTAATTGTAATACACTGAGATGATTCCTTTGGGTCCCTTTATGTAACCGTGGATATACACTCTTCATTTTCTCAGTGCCAGGTGTGCCATGTTTCCTAAACAACAGTAGCTGTGTATTTACAAATGTTTAGTAGTGAACATGGTAATCTGAGTTTTCTGCAGCCATGTCTTTTAAGTTTTTTAAAGTGAAACTAAAATAATTTTGTAAAATTATATTGACACATATAAAGGTTTATGTATTTTATTTTAGACATTGAATATAGGTTTGTATGTAATTAAAAGTTTGGACCATATCAAAGCAATGTGTTAAGAGGGGGGTGGAGGGTGAGTTACACCTCTGACTTATTCAGCTGTATTTAATTTAAGTTTCAGCTATTTAGCTTTGCAAACAACAGACTTTTAGATAAGCAGATGAGGTAAGCTTGGTTAACATGTGGAACGGAGCATAGAGCACTACATGCTGTAAACAGTAAACATAAAAAGCATATTCAAAAATATTTACGGTATACATCTATTTAGTCAGTAAAGATTACATATTATGAATATATAAAAGTAATATTTCATATCTACCTGGCTAAAAGGATTAAAACATATGTTTACAAATGGTATTTTTAGTCCTTGGCATAATAAATAATGAAATAATGGACAAATAAAATATATAAAAGAACACTATACATTCAATTTAAATCAAACATTATGATGGCATCAATCAGAATATGATGGGATGCAAAGCTACTATATATATGATGTATACATTTAATTCAAGCAACATCATACAGCTTTATGAATTTAAAAAGCAAAGTTAACATAAACATATATTACACGTGGTGCCCATCGTAATGAACAGAACAACAAAAAGAGGCACTATGTAGTTTTAGGGAGTCAAGTCAAGCAATGCAACAGTGCATACGTTGGCTGCACATTAGAGATGAAAAGTAGTTCACACTTGAAAAATGGAATCTTCTAGATAGACAACTAACATAGCCTTCTGAATTAAAAAGAGGTAAGGAAAATATATCAACAAAATATTGTCTCCACAAAAACTACATGGAACATGCACTGATACCTTTTTGTCTCAATGCATCACAGAACAAGAATATTGTAATGTGGCATAAACATTCCGAGTCTTTAAAACATGGAATGTAAAACTTTCAGAAGAAATAAAATGTTTATATTAACTTTATGTTTAAGCATCACTTTAGACTTTCATATAAAATCTTGGACATGGAAGGGAATGTATAGTGCTTTTCTATATAGTTTTTTTTTATTATGGACAGGATTTAAACAAATATTTTAGTCAGGTGAATACAAAACATTGTATATAATATTCTGCAGTCTTCTAGCCAGCCAAAATGTTGTCTACATTTCACATATTCAGCTATGTTAGTGTTAGTGTTAAGCTACCCTTAAAAAAGCCAGCTGTTTACAAAACAGTGCTGAGCAATGACTGATCCCTCCTGGGAATGAGCAACAATTGTAGTGTCACAAGAAGTGTTTGAATTACTACCATGTAAATGCAGGTGCCCTGGAAGAGGAGCTCAGAGTGGGCTGATGTGCTGAGAGAATGACTTAAAAGACTTTAGTGTTTCAGTGGCAGGAGTCAGTGAGCCCTGAGTTGGAGCCAGCTGTTTAGGAAAAAATGTTAAGAAATACTTTGCAGAGCTATGTACATGCATATTTGTTTGATCTGGATCCTTTATTCAAAAGGTTGAGAATGTAATAGTACTTTAAATTGTATCTGTTTATATATGAGCACTCAGGTGCCTGTAGCTCGATGCATGAAGCTCAAAATGAGCTACTTTTGAAGAGGAATGGGTAATTTTTGGCCTCAGACACCTGAATAGGCCTGAAAATGAGCGCTTTTCGAAGCTAAAAAAAACCCATCTCTAGTATCGAGCTTTCCAAAACAAAAATGCTCAAGCCTAAATAAGCGTGAAATTTGCAGAAAATGAACAAATAAGAACACTCCAAAATCACCTGTAAACACTCATGCTCATGTGTCAATTCAATCTAAGGGCTTGCTCATTTACTGCTTATCGAGAGAATATTAGTATTTGAATTTCTATAGCCAGTTCACTTTATTGCTTGCTACAAAACAACTTTCCTTGGCTTCCACTCACTTTAGATTAGCACGTGGGTGTTTATGAAACAAATACATATACAGACACATAATTATATGGTAAATGTCACAGTTGGTGAACAGTAAAACTGGCCCTGAGACTCACAAATCCCTTTGGTTTATTGCAAGAAGAAATATAATGTATACATTTTGTTAAATTCATTGTGTTAAAAGCCAGTGGAGATTAAATAATGCATGCATGTCCTCGTTGCTGATTCTGACTTTGGCTTTTAGTTTAGTGATTTACAAGAGGGGCTTAAGAACTTTAAATCAGTGCTGGTAGCTGTAAAAGAGAGGCGGCGTAATTGTATGAGAAAGAAGTTTAAAGTTAAGTTGCTACTATAAGGTTATAAGGAAATCCTTACAGACACCCTAAAAGGAAAAAAAAACATTAAACTGAAGTGGCTACAGCCTAATGGTGATCTCGGCTATGTGCCACCTAGCCATGGAGTTTTAATCAACTGCTGCAAAAAGAAGAGTCTCGCTCTACCTGCTGCATTGTCAATAATCTATAATGCAAAAAAATCCAAATGGGAGAGTGACATCAACTTATTATGGCTGCAGCAGATCAATGGAGCAAGTAATTAATATTTCACTGCCAGAATTATTAGGAGCTAAGATGCCAATGGGTGACTCAACTGATCAATGTCTACCCAGAAGTAAAATATTCATTTGGAGCAGAAGAATATGTTAATTCACTTCAGAGTTGTTTACATTCCACCAATATATATTGCTCTGTTATGCAATACTCATATACACACTGTACAGCTGTCAGGCTGCATAACATGTAAAGAATGTGTGTGTGCTAATTGTGTTAAAAAAGCCTTACCGCTACATCAAGCTGCAAACTCACATACAGCACAGGGGTCTAGATCTCCAGTGGTACCAATATTTTTTTGTTTTTTAGTACTGTAACCCTATTCTTTCTCGCCTAGGCAAGGATGACATAGGGACCGCCCCCTGCTGCCTCCCAGGGTGTCCACTTCACACATTCCAGAATGCAGTACTCCACTGAGGGTACATGTGCGCCACAAGATCCAGAACACGAATAGACATGGCACAGATCTTTGCCTGGCATTTGGCATGACCTTCACATGCGTGGGATCTCATGGTGCAAATGCACATGAAAATAGGGTTATGCCCACAAACAGGAGTTGCAAGAAGATGACGGCACAAGGAGATCTCCAGCTGCAAGGAAGACAACACTGAACTAATTAGTAATTTTTATTACAGGGTCAATTATTAGAGCGATAAAAGCTTGGTTTTTAAGCTGAGATATATTTTATTATTCTGATTTCTCTATATATTAATACGGAGACTCCACCACAGAACAAATGATACAGCATTTGCTCTTGCATGGTTTGCCTGACACCTACCTGCCTATTAGTACAAACCATGGGAATGGATCAAGACTTTCCCTGTTCATGCCAACGCTGGCATGATTGATTTGGGTGGGACTTTGCTCTTAATATTAGAGTGCATGGCAACTTCTAT